AACTGTCACCTCTTTGTGTTTGAGGTTCAAAACCTTTATTAATTAATAATTCATATTATTATTATTAGGTCATGTTTTTTACATACAATGTTATCTAGAGTACATTTTTGAAAAAATGGAAGAATTTTGATGCCAACTAAACACTGACATGGCCAAATATTGTTCGTCCATCAGTCCCATCGTGAACACAATATCTTAGAAATACCTTGAAAGAAATTCTTCAAATTTGGCACAAATGTCCATTTGGACTTGGACTGATTAGCTTTTTGTGGTCAGAAGTCGCAATGACCTCATATCTGTCCCATTCCCATGAATCTGACTGGTTAGTGGCTGAATGGAACCAAGTACATTTACTCAACTACTGCACAACTGTGTGCTTTACCTACTTTACAGATTCTAAATATTAATACAAAATACCATCAGCCAATAAATTACAATCTATTATTACTGATTACAGCTACCTGGCACAATGACCCCACACTGACAAGCTGCCACATTAGTTCAACGATAATTCAAACAAAAGCCTGACGTCTAAATTCATGTGGAAAAAGGTTTAGCTTGAGAATTATTCTTCTTGTTCACCATGGCCAATAATTGTCTTACAAGTGATGTGAAACAAAATTCTGTGCAAAAATACATTCCAAAGTTCATCTGAGACTTCAGGAGTGTGCACTAGTCATAAAATGGATGTCTTTCAAATCTTTTAGTGGGACATTACCTTTTTCCCCTGATGGTGCTTCCTTCCTGAGCTGATGTTGTGGCATATTAACACAACTGTATGAAAAAAAGACTAACTTTGGAAGAGACACACTTGATTTCACTCATACTGGTGAAGCCTCATATCAACTTCAAATAAACACTGGAGCATACTTTTACACAGGACGAAGACTGTGGATTTTGTCCCCCATCGCTTAGCAACAATGATATCACTTCCCGAGACCTGCAGGACGGATTACATCATTTCCTTTTCGTTCTCCTGCCTCATATCAACATCTGCCTCCATCTCTCAATACAAGGAAGGAGATTAACACCGAGAAAAAGTGGGAGGGAGAGACCAGCTGTGCTCAGCAGCACTCTTATTTTTACTCTGCCTAGCTACACCCTGCTGTATTTTACTCTAAATACTTTAAATTACAGCACTCACATGCAGGGCTGTCCTTGGCTATGTATAAGATTCAACATTTTATTCATCTGTTATAAGAACCACATCGCAGTAAGGTTTGCTAAAGACAGCGCACACAAATGACATTTGTGTGTGTGGTGTGGCCCAAATTAAGTCTCACTGTATCTGAGAATGTATCTGAGCCCCAAGGCTGAACCCAGCAGATCCCAGGAGTACTCAGCTGCCGCCATGTAACGTGATACTGAGGCACACACACACACAGTGGTGTGTTCCAGTTTTATGGACAGAACAAATGAGTTCTATTTTTACTCCAAAAGAAACAAACAGGAGGCAGCAGGAAGCTGATTCTACTGTACCTGATTTACCATGGCTGTATTAACGGAGCTGGACACAACGTGCCACAGTCAACTCTGCTGCCACTTTGACCCTGTGGCCCAAAACATTTCCCTCATATACAAACAGGGTGAACACTGAAGCGACATGTGTGGTACACCTGTACATGCAATGGCTATACCAACTGTCATGGCAGTCCGCCCTGTGGACCAGAGCATCCTTCTGACAAAAACCTTTTTTTTACATTTGATCACAATCACACTTTAATTGAAGCATTTCCTTTCTATATGCTGCCAAACCCATACAGCTCCTTTAATAAATGCAGAAACATGAGCCACTCCTTCACCAACGCCCATAGCCTATATTCATAGGCACACACACACACACACACACACACACACACCACTTTAATATGCTGAGCAGCTACAATGATAACAGGGTAGCTTCCTACTGTACATACACACCCCTCCAGGTTCTGAAGCAGCTGTCTGATCTTTACAGAAAACATGCAAACCACCTAAAATCCATATACAATATAAACATACCATATCATTTGTTTGTTTGGAAAATGGCCCACCTCAGCTAAGGGGGCCTGGCAGAGCGATCCTGATGTCTCCGCTGCATAATACCGTTACTTTTTTCACAATAATCACAAAATGATTTCATTTAATTTTCCCAAGCCTGCTTTAGCTATTTTTTCATTTTTATAGCTACACCATTATTAGTGATGTTTTAACTTCAATAAATCTTAACTAGAATTTTAGGAAATGATTACTCACAGCCTAGTGTTCAGTGCATCACACTACACTCCTATACAGCGAGCGCAGGGCTCAACTAATCTGCTGATTTTTTCTCGATTAACTAATTATCTGATTAGAATATCAGCTTGTTTTATCCAACCAACAAATCAAAAACCAAAGATATTCAGTTAACATTGCTACAAGAGGAGCACAGCAAATCCTACAGGAATAAAAAATGACTTCAATCAGGGATCAATTAATCAAGTAACAGCCTAGAAGTAAAATGAAAAGGCCTATGAATAGTTATGTGTGTGGGTATCACATGTAGAGTATAAGCACAAATAAAGTGTCTGCTTTTTCTTGTCCTTTGTAAAGATAAAGGCATCTGGACTTAAACGGTAGCTTTTCGAACAAGTTATTTATGCAAGTGTAAACAGGTTGTGTTGGAGGAAACAAGCTGCATCAAACTGAATAAAGGAATGATGTGCTTTACATTGGTCTAATACAAGAAATGATTCTGTCACAATTAGATTTTTTTCTATCTAATTTTGATCCATGCTACTGTTCTAATAGCTCTGGATAGGTTTTGAATGATGGTATTTTCCCCTTTGAAATGAAACTCTTTCAGCGATGCTAATAAATAGCATTGTAAATATTCTTTTTCCTAATGTGGCAGATTTGGTTTTAATTAAAATTGTATTTCAGCCCATGGAAACGACTTGGCACAAGCTAAATGGCAAGCATGGGGTTACAATATCTGATGCCACTGGCGAGCTGTTCTTGGTTTCAGAAGACAGCAAGGACACTTTATTCAACACACCGAGCACGTCGTGCCACTTTTGACTGCTCATACCATACCCCTCCGGGCTGTTGCGTAAAATGACATCTCTAGCATCCAGGCAACGGTTTGCACCGACCACAGATTTATAACACTGGCACTCAGAGCTGACCGAAGCCTTTTGCCACAGAGATATTTAATTTTCCACAGAGCTCAACAGGGATGGAAACCAAGCATAAGGAACACAGAGGCTGTACATGATTAATTGTCTGTGATATCTGATGAATGTGGGAGGCTTTGTGGGTAAATGTGCAGGACCACAGAGCCACTACAAAAATGTTTATTTTGGAAACCTCCACATAGCTTTCTAACCACAAGCTGAGCGCTGGCCTGATTGATTTTTTCTTTTTTACAACTCATTTGATATTTATGGACCAAATCAGAATAAGTAATATACAGGATGTTAAAAGAAATATAAAGTACACTGTACTCATCTGTGATCACAGCTGGGTTAACAACAGATGTTATGTAATATGTCTGAACCTGATATGTCAGATGAAACTTTTCCAGAGACCAAAAACCAGTTTAAATAGCATTGCAGCCAAGAACAGAAACAGTAAGCCTCAAAATGTTGTCTGGGAAGTACAGGTAGTGGTAAAAGTGGCAGTAGTCAAACAGTAATAGTAGTGGTAGTATTAGTATTAGTCATAGTAGCAGGAACAGTAGCAATCTGTTTTATACCTATTACCAAATACATATAATGTGGACATTTGAACAGCACATCACTCGAACCACACTCATCCCAAACCATGGGCATTCATCTGCACACGTTACAGGTTCGATTCTTCCAGGAACCAGGCTGCTGGGTTTTGGTTCTATTGAGCCACAGGGGCATTAGTGAGGTCGTCCACTGATGGGATGGATGGATGATAAAGAATCAAATGTGTTGGGTGGGGTTGAGCTCTACCATACCAAATTGAGAAGCCACTTCTTTATGGATCTGGCTTTGTGCACAGGAGCACTGTCATGTTGAACCAGGAAAGAGCCTTCAGCAAACTGCTGGATAAAGCAGGAAGCACACTATTGTCTAAAACATGTAACCGTTGTCTGTAACTGTAATGTCCACATACAAAAACAATGTCATGAGAATAAACCTGCCACTTCTTGTTCAAAAAATTTACTTTTTGAATAAAAAATGTGTAGAGTATGAGCACCACAGAGCATTTGAAGTAATTAGTCTTGTTGTCCCAAAGAGGGCGCTCTTACTGGTTTGCGCTATAGATGCTCTAATGACCTACAGTATCACTGAAGTAAGCTGATAAATCAAAACTGAGGACAATAGTGAACAAAGCCGTGCTGATCAGATCATTTCAACATCATCAGAGCGAGTGTGTGGAAGCATTCTGGGTTTTGCATCACAGACTGCAAAATTACCATGAGCAATAAGGTTGGCAGGGTGGACCAGTGGTTTAGTGGTTAGCGCTGTCGCCTCACAGCAAGGCTCCAGGTTCAAGCCCCGGCCGACCCGGGGCCTTTCTGTGTGGAGTCTGCATGTTCTCCCTGTGCCCATGTGGGTTCAAACTTTTATTTTGTCTGATTGACTGAATATACAGTCAAAAGAATTTATGACTGTATAATCATGTCATCTGTGACCATGGTATCAGACAAACAAATCATGTTGTCTGAACCAGGCATTAGTCAGTACCAGTCATTAAAGCACTTCACTGAATGTGGTAGTGTGTGTGATTGTGTATGTGACAAACTAAATTTGAATTGGACACATGCACAATGCACTGTGCTCATTTATATCATTAGTGTTGGAAAATACACTGCTGAGCTGAAAAAATTGCAGTGATGCTGTATTTTACGCATTTTTAAAAATATTTTGCACAAATACTTGATGGTAATCTCTAAGGGTGGGTGGGGGGTGTTGTGTACAAATTTGTTCAAACTCAAAATCAAACACAAAGCAGCATAAACACAGAACAGAACTTTCCACACATGATAAAAGTCTAATGCCGTTTACCTTTGGTTGACTAACGCAGCTCAGTCCAGCTCCAACACAACCAGTTGATGAATTCAATCACCCTGCAGAGACACAGCGAAGAGGTGCGTTATTAAACATGATTTCCTTTGGACAGATAGCAACACAGAAGCCTGGTCTTCCTTCCTGCTGCGAGCACAACCTTCTGACAACTGCCTTTGGTTTTTACACGCTGTTGTTGGTAGTGTTCTACCTTTGTGTGTCCACTACAGAGATGAGTCTAATCGCCAGTTTAGCACAGAGAGTGGAAGCAGGGGAACACTGTTAGCTTAGCTCCATCAAATGTCATAAAATACAGCTTCCAGTTAGTCCAACACACACACACACACACACACACATACCTCACAGCTGTCTACACACCAGATGTACTGTCAGCAGGTGGCACTAGTGTGTGTTTCTATCATGCTGAGCAGGCTGGATGTGTGTAACCTAAAAATAAATGACAGGCCACAACATTTAAACACACTGCTGTAGTCTCCCCATGTGTTTCCCTCTCTTTTGACCCACTGCTCTCCCGTTTCCACTCCATTTTTATTTTCTTACTCCATTTTACCTCAGAGTCTCTGTATTTGCTGAGCCAGTTGAAGTCAGTGGCATTTCACTAAATCATTGCAGCTCATCATGTCAACACCTCTTCATGCTGCAGTCACGTCTGACCTTACTGAAGGGTTCACATACAAGCCCAGTCACACAGTAAGTGGAGAAAGCGTGTACATGTAAAAGCTCAATGTGTGTGTCTGTGTACGAGTGTTGTGACATGAGTGTGTTTGTGTGTAACTGTATGGCCAACTTATGTCAGTGTGAGTCCTCACAAAGATAACTGTACTAGCGTGGGTGTGTGCATCTGTCGTCCTTCACAAAATAATCATGCCATACACATACACAAACAGCCAACATGTCACATGCACAGGATAGAGCTACACTGTGGCAAACACACACTCCAGTCCTTGCTTAAAAAACGCTCAAGAGCAGTTCTCATATGATCAGTAGCTGATGGCGTTGTGGAGGAACACACACACACACACACACACACACACACACACACACACACACACACACACACACACACAATTATCCACTCTCCACCAGCACACTGCGTATGAGGACAGCAGGATGTAAGGGCTACTCATTGCCAGTCTGGGGATTCCTGAATGTTTGTTACTGTCAACAGATCTCATAGAAAAACCAAAATCATCAATTAATTTATCCCAGTAACATGTCCCCCTCAAGGCTGATGTATCTTACACCCTCGTGCTGTCAACCTTCGCTGTCTTCCACAAACTATTTAAGAACAAACGTGTCCAACGTCCACCAACCTGCAGGGCTTTGCTATAGAGAAAAGATCATACATGGATTCGTCTCTGCAGGATTCACCGAGGTCAATGTGAGACTTTAGTATGTGTCATGATCATTATCGTAAAAGTAGGAACCTTTGATGGAAAGCCAGTAGGAACAATATGACCTACATTTATTCATTATTCTCACAATTTCAGTACTTCCCATAAAAAAAAAAAAATCCTAATTATATAAGTAACTAAATTAATGTGACTGGGACCCAGGGGAGTCGCAACAATCACACTTCTAATTTACTGGTATATAAAATCTGTGGACAGCTATCAGATACAAAAACGTATTATTCACAAACTTTACAGCTGGAAAAAAAATTATACACACACACACACACACACACAAAAACACTCGCCAGTTATTTTATAAAATGCACAAAGTAGTTTGAGTCTTACGTTTGTGTGAAAAGAAGCTCAAGGCAATCCAAGGACCTTATCTTTTAACTCTTCACTTCTAAACACAATCATCTTTAAATAGTCTTCTAACAAAACCTGTCTGCCCTGACTGTTCTCATCCTTGTCTAAAATAGTTCCTCATCCCGTTGTGTTGCAACCAACTATTTCACAGGAAAGTATTAGGAGGAATTAGGTAATACCAGTTTCAAAACAACTGCAGGCCGACTTGACTGTCTGACTGTAGGTTAGTCACAATCACTTTGTACAACAAATATCATTCTTTGGTTAGTCCCTCCTAATAAATGGCATCAATTCAGTGTTTCCCCAGCATCTTTGCATTTCTCTGCAAATATTTGTTTGGCTTACTAGATTTGCGTTGTTCATTGTCCCTTGTTCTTCAGGATTTAGAGGTAAATGCTCTGCTGGTAGCTCCCAAAAGACAGATTGATAAAGTGCACTAGCTCTCATCTTAAAAATAATCTAAACAACTGTGACAGAACTTCAGACTCCAATTTAGCTCGGCCTTGCCCTTTCACAAGTAGAACAACTGAATTCAAACCCAGGAACTAATCCACTCATCACTCACCGATCCCTAGTAT